ACCCCGTTGGCAATGCACAAATGTAGCTGCAGTTTGTACAACCAAATGATGCCCCCTTAGTTGCAAGTACGAACCGGTGGTTATCACAAGGCAGAGAAGGGGAAGAAAGGGCAAGAGGCAGGAGCCAAAGGGTAGAAAGGAAAACGGAAGAGAGGAACGGTTTATGGACAGACAAAGAGGGTAGGAAGACGAGGTGAAAGACACGACAGAAATAGGGCGCATAACAGTCAACGATGAGAGACCGAAGTGGAAAGTATTACCGAGGAACTAACAACTAACACATATCGGTATATGCTTGCAACAAACTTACAACTGAGCAAATTGGAAATTTTGCTAGCTGATGAAATCAAACGAGCCCAATCAAGAGGACTGGCTGTGTACAAGAGGACAAAAAAGTAAGGTGCATAGTGGGGAGAGCAAATAATAAAACTGAAAGCGAAAATTAGGGAACAGAGAATGAAAGGCGGTGAGGAGAAATGGAAGGACAGAGCGTAGAACAGAAGACTACAGAGGAACAGTGGGAGGTGTATGGTGCATGGTGCATGGCGTGCGAGGTGCACGGTGCAACACCAAGTGTGCAAATAGCAAGTGCACCAAATGAAAGTGCGCCAACAACAAGTGCGGCAACAGCAAGAAATGCGTTAGCAGCAAGTGCGCCGACAGCAAGTGCGCCAACAGCAAGTGCGCCAACAGCAAGTGCGCCAACAGCAAGTGCGCCAACAGCAAGTGTGCCAGGCGCGTTTATTGTTGGCACGCTTGCTGTTGGCAGGCTTGCTGTTAGCGCGCTTGTTGTGGGTGCGCTTGCTGTGGGCGCGCTTGCTGTCAGCGCGCTTGCTGTGGGTGCGCTTGCTCTAGGCGCGCTTGCTGTCGGCGCGCCTGCTGTCGCCGCGCTTCCTGTGGGCGCGCTTGTTGTCGTTGCGCTTGCTGTCGGCGCTCTTGCTGTCGGCGCGCTTTCTGTTGGTGCGCTCGCTTTTGGCGCGCTCGCTGTTGGCGTGCTCGCTGTTGGTGCGCTCGTTGTTGGTGCGCTCACTGTTGGCGCGCTTGCTATTGTCGCGCTCGCTGTCGGCGTGCTTGCTGTTGGCGCGCTTGCTTTTGGCGCCCTTGCTGTCGGTGCCCTTGTTATTGGCGTGCTTGCTGTTGGCCCGCTCGTTGTTGGCGCGCTCGCTGTCGGCGCGTTTGTTGTCGGCGCCCTTGCTGTTGGCGCGCTTGCTCGAAAACGGCCGCGGGATTCTGGGAAAATCAACTTCGACGAAGCTGATTCGACGCGAGAAGGAGGAAATGATGGGGAAAAATCTCCACCCATGACCAGTCTTCGCCAGGGAAAATCGCCGCGGAAAAATACGAATCCACGAAAAAAGACTCTGCCGAGACGGGGAAACTCCTTGAAGACCCAAGAAATTACAATGGCGGAATAAATTGCCCGGATGTTTAACACTTTGAAACGTATCGCTATGCCACACATGTTTTGAAAATAGTAACACCCATTTTTTGCCATTCCGTTACAAGGTGTTCTAGTTCTGCTTCAACCGTTTCTTGCTTGGTGCGATTGTGATACAACTGGAAAGTGGGGTTGAAATTTACTCCTCGACTATCGATGCGGACATTTCCTACCGAGCGGAAGAGTAGATCTATTTTCCCCCGTCACTCGGTGTGTACATCGTCACGCGCAATAGTTGCTGGCTTAGGAGTTAGTCCGGAGGCGAGCCTACGACCGCATCGCTATGAAGCCGTTAAATGAGCGGAAGCGCGCGCGAATCATAAGCATGTTGCGTGCGGGGCATTCGACTAGGAAAATAGGCAAAGTTCTTGGCATAGGCAAGAGCACCGTGCACGATTACGGTTTGAAAGTTGCTGCCGAGACTAGTGTCGAGGAGGTGCGACCTACGATGCCTACGGCCGGCCACCCCCGCTTAATCACTACCCCTCTCCAGCGCGGAATAATATGCGCGATTACAAGCGGCGAGGCGAAAAGCTCTGTAGACGCGGCATATATGTTGTTGGAGAAGCACGATCTCGCCGTAGACTCGAAGACGGTCAGGAACTCATTACGATCCGCGGGGCTGATCGCCGTACATCAGCCCAAGAAACCCAGGCTCTCACCGAAAAACATCCGAGATCGTCTCCACTTCGCGCGGTCGCATGCCGACTAGACGCTGGAGGAGTGGAAGCGGGTGATTTGGTCTGACGAGACAAAGATAAACCGCTACTGCTCCGACGGACGTGCGTACGCCTGGATTCGCGAGGGCACCAGCCTTCGGAGCCATCAAGTCCAACAGACAGTTAAGCATGGGGGCGGTTCTGTGATGGTGTGGGGTTGCATGACGTATGAGGGGGCGGGGTTCATATGCAAGATAGATGGCAGGATGGATGGGCCGCTGTATCGCAGCATCTTGCAAGATGAGCTCAAACAGACCATCGATTTTTTCAAGCTTTCCCCCTCAGAGGTCATTTTCCAGCACGACAATGATCCCAAGCACAGGTCTCGTCTGGTCCAAGACTGGCTTGGAGAGCAGGAGTACGCGGTGCTGGAATGGCCGTCATGCTCCCCGGACCTTAACCCGATTGAGCACCCGTGGGCACACTTGAAAAGGCAGTTGGGGAAGTACGAAAAGCCGCCAAGTGGAATGCTGGAGCTGTGGGAGAGGGTGCAGGAGGAATGGGACAAGATACCGGCGGAGGTGTGTGCAAACCTGATCGACAACCTGCCGAGGAGGATCAAGGCAGTGATTCGGGCAAAGGGACGTTGGACTAGGTACTATTTTTCACAGAATCTAGTATGCTACCTGTTTTCGGTACAAATTTTCCGGATGTTATCCTTTGCTATGCTTAGGTGTTTAAGGACCATGTGTAGTACTACTTTGGTGTTTGTCAACTCGAGTGAGTGCTCTAACTGAACTTCTCAGCGTGTATGCACACCATACATTAAGGCTTAATGTTTACGCCGCTGCACTCATCAAAATGCCAAAAAAGGCTGAACATGTGGACAATTTATTCCGCCACTGTATAAGGATTCGTTAAAGCTATCCTATAAAGATGCTTTAATGAAAACTTATGATTTTCGAGGGGCTAGAGCCTTAGAGAAATTTCGGGAGGGACTCCAAAAGAAGTAGACAGCTGTGGAGATTATGCCGGTACCGGACAACTTGGGGAAAAAATTAAGGAGTGTGGAAAGAAGCCGACCTTTCCACGGAGTCAACGTCCTCTCCCGACACCAGCCCACAACGACTACCCGTTCCCCAGGGAAGAGTGGAGCTAAAGCAGCTCAAGAGGAAGCTGGGGGTCTACAAGAAGCTGCACAAACCCCGAACTCCTCGTCCGGATGCATCCAGTTCTCCGGCATCAATGACGCGCACAGTCGTCAAGGAAACTCCGGGCCCTGGAGAAGAGCCGTTCTCCAAGCAGCCTCGGCCAGCTGCCAGCTCAGGAGTAGATAGCAACACAAAGGTGTGTGCGGAATATTGGGATGTACCATATGACCCAATCAATGAAACCATCTTTGGGTACTCCGAGCAACGCCTGCCCCTCGTGCTCGAGGTCATCTGCAAAGGACGACGCCTCCAAGCACTCGTGGACAGCGGAGCATCACACACCGTCTACGACAAGGCAGTAATCGCACCGCAAGCATCTACAACAATGGACGGAGAGTACAGCTACCCAACTAGGATGATACGGGAGATATCCCAGTGGAGACACTCGCACGATTCGAGAAGGAAGTGAAGCGAACCGACACCGGGTTCCTGGCGATAGCAACAAATGTGGAAAACGACGGGGAGAAGACCTCAGAACCTCCGAGAAAGATCAAGGAATTATTGAAGGAGTTCTAAGACGTTCTTCCTGACGATCTTCCGAACGAGCTACCGCCATACCGAACGCATCAACACGAGATTGTGGAGGAACCGGGTTCAAAGCCGACCTTCCGAGCACCATATCGGCTCAGCCCTACGGAGCTGACCGACATGAAAAGGCAGATCGAGTATCTCCTAGCCAAAGGACTCATCCGACCATCCACTTCGCCATACGGTGCCCCAGTACTCTTCACACCGAAACCGGACGGAAGCATGCGCATGTGCATCGATTACCGGGCTCTTAACCAGCAGACCATCAAGAATAAATATCTGATACCGCGAATCGATGACCTACTTGACCAGCTTCGGGGAGCCACGGTATTTTCCAAACTGGATCTGTGGTCCGGATACTGGCAGATACGGATGGCGAACAACTCTATCCACAAAACTGCTTTCCGAACTCGGTACGAATCGTACGAGTATTTGGTCATGCCGTTCGGACTCACCAACGCACCGGCAACATTCCAAGCCGAGATGAACCACATCCTACGCCCACTTTTGGACGAGTGCGTGGTAGTATACCTGGACGACATCCTCATCTACTCGCGTGACATGAAGCAGCACGTCGAACACCTGCGACGCGTCTTCGAAATTCTTCGACGAGAACGGTTCTACGTCAAAATGTCCAAGAGCAAATTCGCCCTTGAGAAGGTCCAATTCCTAGGGCACATGGTGAGCGCTCAAGGAGTTCACGTCGACCCCAAGAAAATCGAAGCCGTACGTACGTGGAAGACACCCGAGAACGTGAAGGAGTTGCAGCAGTTCCTAGGCTTCGCTAATTACTATAACAGGTTCGTCCCATAGTATGCGAAACTCGCAACACCACTCACGAATCTGCTGAAGAAGAACACGCCCTACAAATGGGAGCCAAAGCACCAGGAAGCCGTGGAGCAGCTGAAACAAGCACTCACGTCCGCACCAGTACTCATCTTGCCAGATCCCGAACGCGACTACGTAATCGAAGCTGACGCCAGCGACCAAGCAGTGGGAGCAGTCTTGATGCAAGACCAGGGAAATGGAATGCAAACAATCGCCTACCTCAGCAAGAAACTGCACGGGGCAGAACTAAACTACCCGATACACGACAAAGAGGCCCTTGCCATCGTCATCGCCTTCAAAGCGTGGAGATGTTATCTCGAAGGACGAAGAACAACCGTCTTCACCGACCACTGCAGCCTGAAATACTTGAAGACACAACCCAACCTTTCCAGGCGACAGGTCGGGTGGATCGACTTCCTCGAGACACACTTCCACTACGATATCGCGTACAAGCCCGGCCACAAAAACAAAGCAGACGCCCTGCACACATTGCCGCCATTCAGGTCGAAGGGATGAACCCACTACTCAAGGGACTCTTCACACACGGGTAGGCCATCGACCCCGAAATTCCCTTGGCAGAAAAGCGACATCTGCTACAGTGGGACAGTGACATCGCATACCTGAAAGGATCAACGAAAATCTGGGTACCCAATTACCCTCCTTTGCGCCAGTTCCTACTCGAAGAATACCATGACGTCCTCTACGCCGGACACTTCGGTAGCAACAAGACGCTGACCGGTATTGCAAAACACTACTACTGGCCCCACTTGGCAGAGGATGTTCAGAAATTCGTCACCTCGTGTGATACATGTCAGCGGATAAAGAGCAGCAAGCAGAAAAAGGCGGGACTACTGCAGCCTCCTCCTGTCCCAGAACAGCTATGGAAAGTGGTTAGCCTGGATTTCATCACCGGGTTACCACCTATCACCAGCGGTCATGACGCAATCCTTGTCGTTATCGACAAATTCTCCAAAATGGGACACTTCATCCCGACACACACGACGGCATGCACCGAGGAGACAGCACAACTCTTTGTTCGTTACATCATCTCACAGCATGGCATTCCAACCACACTCATTTCCGACGGAGACCCCAAGTTCACCAGCAAGTTCTGGAAGGAACTTATGTCTCTGCTCGGGACCAAACTCGCCATGTCATCCGCTTACCATCCGCAGACAGACGGACAGACCGAGCGCCTCAACCAGATTGTTGAGCAACTCCTCCGAGCAGCCTGCAGGGACGAGATCTCCAAATGGGACTTGCACCTGCCCATTCTAGAGTTTGCTTACAACAACGCTACGCATGCCGCTATTGGACAGACGCCGTTCTTCCTCTGCTACGGACGCCACCCACTCACACCACAAAAACCGACAACATCCGCTACAGTCCAACCTGCACACGATTTCATCACAACCATCCATCAGCTTTGGGATCGGACCCACAAGCGCCTCCTCGACGTTCAGCAGCAACAAAAGCGCCAGGCCGATCGCCATCGCAACGACCACACCATTACCGTGGGAGACCAGGTGCTCCTTGACACCCGCAACCTTGACATCAGTCATCTCCCATCTAAACTGCGACCTCGCTTCTGCGGGCCTTTCCTCGTTCAAGCACAGGTCACTCCTATTACCTTCCGCTTACGCCTGCCAGCTACCTGGAAGATTCACAACGCCTTCCATGTCCAACTTCTGAATCCCTATCGGGATCCGAACACGATCTTCGTCAGACGCCAACCGCCGCCGCCGCCGCCCATCCTCGTCCAGAATGAACCCGAGTACGAGGTCAAGTCCGTGCTTGCACACCGACATCGTCAAAATGGCACCGTGGAGCTTCTCATCCGTTGGAAGGGTTATGATCCTTCTGAGGACAGCTGGGTACCTGAGACCGACATGGGTAACGCCCGTCGTCCTCTGCATGACTACCTTGTCAAGCAGGGTGTTACTTCTACCACCCAGATTTGAGTGGAGAAAGTGTGAGAGTATGACCCTGTTACACCACTTGTCCTTTTTCTTATTTCCTTCCTCTTTCATTTCTCTTTTTATCCCATCTCATTTGGTTTCCTAATCTCCATTTTCCATTAACCTTGGATTTATCCTGCTATTATAATTATATCACCGACCAGGCTTGGGATGTACTGGGGCGCTATATCTAGCGTAATCCTGCCGTAATCCCTTAAAGCCAATAGCCTCGCGTGGCTATACGCAGGGTGATTCTATCTTATAGAAGGGTCTATTCCCTTGGGATAAGATAAACCTGGTTACCTGATGTACTCAGGAAGTATAAAAGCGCCTTGTACTGATCGATAGTGCAATCTTTCCTCGAGTCATTCGATCCTGTGACAGCGCACCATCACTCTCATCAGTCATACTTGGTGCGCTAGGTCCTTCAAAGGTTCGGTCTTCAGTTAACCTCCGCACGGCCCACACCTCTGCCAGTAGATCACAGGCTCTCGGCTCCAGTTCCTGAGGAGTTTGTAGAGCCTAGTGGTCCTTACGCAGAGCAGGTGGGTTGCTTCATGTACCTGATGACTTGCACTTGTCCAGATCCCGCATACCCTCTCAGCATCCATGCACGCTTTGTGGCCACAAGCAGACACCGACCACAACACTGGTCGGCCGCTAAGAGAGTTTTGCACCATCTAACATCGGGCATGGGGCTAGTGCTAGGAGGACACAGGCTAGTGGTCCTTGCAGGGCACACAGACGCTTCATGGGTAGACGACGCTGAGACACTCAGGTCCTCCCAGGGCTACTGCTTTAGCCTTGGTGCAGGTGCTGTGAGAGCACGACCCCGTTACACTCCATTCTCATTCCCATCTTTCTTCCCTATCTCATTCACCTTTTTCTCTTCATTCATTTGCTCTTTACCTCATCTCATTTGGGTTCCTATTCCTCATCCTTTGGTTTATCCTTTTATCATGAATATATCATCGACCAGGCTGGGGATGTACTGGCGCTCTATATCTAGCGTAATCCTCCCGTAATCCCTTAAAGCCAATAGCCTCGCGTGGCTATACGCAGAGTGATTCTATTTCTAGAAGGGTCTATTTCTTTTGGATAGGATAAACCTCGATACCAAATGTACCTTTGAAGTATAAAAGCGCCTTGTATCGGTTGATAGTGCAACTTTTCCTCGACACATTCAATCCTGTGACAGGTGCCATCTTGTGGAGGTCCACTCGCTCGTCGTCTGTTGCCCTGTCTAGCTGTGAGAGTGATATCTATGCCGGTGCCATGGTGGCACAGGAGCTCCGCTGGCTGACTTTCTTGCTTACAGACTTAGGTGAGCGGCCTAGCTCTGCCCCGGTCCTGTATGCTGACAACAGGGCCATGATCCTCTTGTGTTAGGAGCCTCGATTGGAGGGCAGAGCAAGGCACATCCAGCTGCGGTACTTCCTCCTGCGCGAGCTACAGCAGCGCCGCCAAGCCCGCATAGTACACTTGGCCTCAGGTGCCAACACAACTGATATCTTTACGAGGGCGCTTGCGCCTGAAGATCATCAGCGGCACTGTGCACAGCTTGGTCTAGTTCCTGTAGCTTCTCACTTGCCAGGACCTTGATGTATACTCCCTCTTATATGATATTGATTGGCCTTGTGGCTCTTGTTCCAATGGTTGGAATAGTAGTGCCACCCTGGGTTACTCTTTTTTAGTTTGTACTCTTGCTGACTGGTCTTCGAACCCTTGCCTCAGATGTTGGAGTAGTAGTGCCACCCTTAGCTGTGTGTCTCGTGCTAGGCACTGCCCGTCATCTAGCCTAGGGGGTGTGTCAAACATATTTGTTTAGGCTAGATAGGTGTGTACATGTTTCCCTCATTCTGGTTAATCTTTCTACGCTAACATGTTTATCCGCGCATAGTAAAAGGACAGGATCAGGAACATTATTGATTCTGATCCTACTTCATGGGAATTCGCCCAGTCTAAATACGGTAGTCTTATAAAATCAGCATGTGACATGACCTCCGTCCTACACAGTACCCAAAGCTACCTTTGCCCACCTCCTTTCTCTCCCGCGCCTTTCTCTAAGACCTACAACCCCATCTCAAATTGATATGCAGATTTCCTGCCAGCCACGTAGAGTGATTATGGGACACAAATCACCTCGACTCCTATGGTTCCATAGCAATATTCACCATTATAGTCGTAAAAATCTTCAGCTGCTGTACCCGTATCTCCACCATAGAAGTGGTAAGCGGCTGAACACGCCATGGATGGCGAGACTGGCTTGGTCCTGCCCTTCTTGCACCTGCCCAATTTGAATGACCAATACTCTGCCTTGACGCAAATCTGGTAGCAAGATACATGTGAAACAGGTGCATAGAAAGGGTTGGGCAAAGCAGATGGCAAAATTGGCAGTTGAAAAGATAGTGTGGATAACAGATGCAAGGACGACTTGCAGACAAATCTGCGTGGAAATGCGTGGAAATGCGTCGTATCCATGGCATGGAAATGTCACCGATCATACCTGCAGTAGTGTCTGCCAGACTGGTTTCTTAAATTTGCACAAGTGCTCTAGCCTTCAATGAGGCTCACTCCCCTCCAACCCCCACAGCCCTCACCTGCACGCCAATCTTGCTGCCGACAACTGAGACGGATGCAGGGATTGTGCTGGAGCAAATGAGGCCGGGATTGTTGCGGTACAGCTCAGTTGGGAAGCTTCTGGTCCTCTGAATTAGCCGGTTGCATGTTACTTCAGGTGTGAGCAAGCCGTAATTCACACACACAGGAACAGTGAACGCAAATGTGTCATTGCGCTCGATGCACACCGAGCGGCCTGCCTTGATGGGCTTGGAGCAGTCAAGACCGGGGTTGAGAGCAGCGAGATCAACATCCATAGATTTGATCTGTGTGCTGATGGACGAACAACTGTTGCCCTGGAGGGTTGAACAAAGGCAGGGAGGGTATGATTGCAGCATGCTCATTGGCATGAAAATAGTGCACCCGAGTTGCGTTGACAAGGTGCGTTGGGTGAGTGGTGTGGTGAAACGAGGAAGGCAATATAACTCACACTGAGCGTGTAGAAGAAGGCAGTGCAGGGTGTGGTGGGAGAGCCATCTAGCTGAAGGACGCTGCCCTTGGGCAATGGCCGGCTGCAATCCATGGCCTGCGGTGTTACACATAGGCGTGCAAAAGAAGCGGTGCCAATGAGAGGTTCCCATTATACTCGACATGGGAAAGGCCTCCACTTATTATAAGGTCCTCAAGAATTAAGTACTCACACCTAGGCTTGATCATGAACCCGACCCGACCCGACCCGACCCGACTTTGCCCTACCCGATGTCGGGTGCGGGTCGGGTTGGGTCGGGTCAAGTCGGGTCGGAGCTCAGGAAATGTCAACCCGACCCGCGTTTAATAGGTCGGGTACTACCTGACCCGATTTTGGGTCGGGTCGAGTCGGGTTGGCATAGGGGCAGGGACGGGTAATAAGCCGACCCGACGGGTCGGGTTTTGTAGGTCGGGTCGGGTCGGGTCGGGTCGGGTACCCGAGGGTCGGGTCGACCCTCCGCAAATGTCGACCCAACCCGTCAAAAAGTCGGGTAACCAGACCGGACCCGACCCGTTGCTCAAGCCTACTCACACCTTACAAATCGACACAACATTCTTGGATCCTCCCTGTGACAGAAAGAGATTAATGTGGTCTTTCACGAATGGGAGGTTCAAACAAGTGTGGGGAATGGAGGGTAAGTCCATCCTTATGAAATCTAAAATGAATAAGGGCAGTGAAGTAACAGATTGCACAAACTTAAGGTGATGTCATAAGGTCAAGTAGAGGCTAGCCAACACTTCACATCCCACTCTGTATAATAAGTACTCTTTCTCCCACTTCTACTTCACCCAATCCTTACCGCATTCTGGAGTTTGAATTGACTGAATGAGATGCCAACAAATGGATAAATGTCCGAACACCACCAGTTGTCTCCACTGACTGCCATTGTGGTGGCTGTGGCATTGGCTGAAGACAGTACACAGAGTGAGATGGAGGCGTTGGGGAAAGGAAGGGAGGGGAGGAAGTTTAGATAGAGAGGAGATGCAAGGCCCATCTCATGCATTGCTACAACGAACTGTAATCCGTAACACAGCCATAATGCGTCAAAGAGTTCAAACATGATAAAATGGCATAGTCAAAGCCATTAACTGGGACCAAGAATGTATCACCTGGATCGCACGTGGGGGAGTTGTCAGCTGTTTTGCTTTCAATGTGGTTAAGAGGGCAGATGCAGGAGTAGGCGCCCTTGCCATCGTTGATGCATGTGCCCACAGCGCAGGGGTTCTTAAAGTGCGACCCACACACGTCCACTGCCACAATTGTAGCGTGATAGATAGTACATATACTGGGGTTAGAGGTGAGCAAATTGAAGAGAAAGATATGGAGAAGGGCGAGACATGCAGATAGTGGGGAATGACGTGTTGCCTATTTCTTACCATAAGCACATGTGGAGGAGCCATTTCCATTCCCGACTTCAACAAAAGGCTGCTTCAAAGATCCAGGAATATTGCAGTTGCATCTATTGCTGCTTCCACCAATCGCCTGGCATGCGAACCGGCCACAAGGGTTCATGCCGTACAAATCCTTATCGCCTTTGTAGCCTTTTCGGCCGCAGGGGTCCCCTGGAACTGGAATGTGACGAGGGATACACTTGCAACGAATGAAGATGAAGTTGGAAGATCATATAACATGAAGTGTGGGGGAATGAGACTCAACAGCTCATGCCACACTACCAGGGTCATAGCTAAGAACCACCTAGGGCGTAAGTGCTTGCAAAGATTTCCACCAAACTGAATGACCATTGAGAGCAATTGTCTGAATTGGGAGAAGCAACCTGAGGGATCCTAGTGACAACATTAACTACCTCGCTGCAATGCACTGATTTATCCTCGACATCCTCCGAAATGGCATAGATGGCTCACGCTTGACAATGGGGTAGATGCCAGGCAGCACGTTGATGCCACACACGCCATCCCCTCCCTGGATGTCCATGCGCATGTGCCCCCCGTCGCCCCACTCCACTCCCCACGAGTTGCGGATTATCCAGAAGGGAGGAGCAATACGGTTATGGCTGCCGTCGGTTCTATTAATGGAGTAGCCAACAACGAGTACAACATGGTTCAGCTCGCCTGCGTAGCAATCAGGATCCTGGTATTTGAACGTCTGAAGAAATATCAGGACAACACATCCATCATGAAAACAAGGAGTCCAAGAAGTAAGTCACCAATGGTGCCAATGGTAGTTTAATACCCGCCTGGCTACCCGACCCGGTTCCCTTGAAAAGCGGATAGTATTACCCGCGTTTTCCTACCCTGCTGGGCTACTAAACCTACGACCTAGATAGTGCTTAAAAAACGTGAGTTGGGGGAGGGAGAATTGAGGTGCGCCAAATCTTTAACAATTCTACTGTGGTGACTGGGGCGTGACTGGGGCGTGACTGGGGCCTGACTCCTGAGTGGGAAGGTGGTTGGGTTTTCTAGTTGGGATGGGGGGGTTGTGTGCGGTTTTAGGGGGTTTGATATTTTGACCCCCCGAGTCAATTGGTTGGAACTCCAACCACTGTGGTGCTGTGCGGTTGGCTGAATTCAGGTTGGGTTGCAAATTCGATTGGGGAAATTCGATTGGTTTGAATTCCAACCAATTTCCCCCAATTCAACCGCTCTAAATACATCTGGATCTATGAGATCCAACCGTTGCCACTCTACAATGCTTACGTGACCTAGCAGCTCGCGTAACCTAAAAACTTGCTGCAATCTCTCTACCAGCACGACCAATGCCGTGCGGGTTCCGTCGTGTAGACGCGCTACCCGATTTCGGGTCGGGTACCCGCTACCCGACGTGTCGGGTAACTTTTCGGGTAACGGGTATCGAATACCCGCCCGGGTTATCCGGAACCGACCCGCCGGGTAATATTCAGGAATCCTGATACCCTACCCGCCCTAAAAGCGGATCCGGGTCCCGGTTACCCGACCCGCGCGGGTATTTTGCTCAATCCTAATATATATGTCTCGTTCACCCACGCCACTTAGCAGATGCCTAGCGCACATCCTCAACCTGGCTGTCCAGTGTTCTATTGAGAATGTGAGCTGAAACCACCTGCTCGCCCCAACCACCCAGCCCACCACGCTGCACCCCACATGCCAGCACTCCAGCCCACCACACACTTCTGATCCCTTCCTTACTTGCCCCCCTGCGCCCTCTCATGCCTTCCAGCTAGACGTTACTTACAATAATAGCCCTCGGCAGTTCTATCTGCATCAGTTTCAGCTCACATTCTCGCCTTCGCGCCCCCTAGTGAGCAGCTCCTTCCTCTCCCACAGGCTTCGATTACCACGGTCGTTCTTAGTGTGCCCTATGCTGAGGATCTCGTTTCACGATGGTCTATCGTTTCAAGCAGCTCGTAGGTGACTAGTCTTGTTCACCCATGTCATTCTTATCTGCATGTTCACGAGCTAATGCGCCATTGGGGGGGCGGGAGAGTAAGGAGGGGCGAGGGGGAGGAGGCGGCACGCAGAAGCGGTATCTTCGGGAGGCGGGGCGCCTGGCGGAGTACCTAGATGCGCGCATGGAGGCGGCCACCAGGTGCGCGGACGCCAGCAGATGCGAGCACGGTGGTGAAACATCTCTTCCCTTGTTTCGCTTCTCGCCACTGTCCTTTTCCTCTCTCCTGTACTCGTTCCGTCTATGCCCGTCTCGATCCCCCTTTCGTGCCCTCTCTCCCTTTTCGCTCGTCCCAGCTGCTCTCTCTCCCCCTCGCCCCTGGAGCTGTGCTTGCCATGTGTGTGCTTGCCACGTGTGTGCTTGGCGCAGCAGCGGTGCGGCGCGACTCGTGCAGAGAGGCATGGCTAGTAGTGTGTGTGGGAAGGTGGAGGGGGCAGAGCGGAATGGAGAGCATCCGCTCTCGTGCACTCCCCTTCTCACGCGCATGCCCCATCCATCCGTCCATCGTGTGTGCGCTGCAGGTTGGGCGCAGCAGCAGCAGGCCCGAGGAGCAGTGAAGGGGGGCATGCTGGCGCCATGGGTGGTGCGCTGCCAGACGACGTGAGCGCCATGGCGTATGCGCACGACCTGCCACCCAAGGTGCATACGTGTGCCTTGCTATATGCATGGCGGTGTGAAGCCATCCCTGGCAGCCCATCCGTGTGCCCTCTGTTCTGCCTGTTGCGTGCCCATGCCACCCCCTTTTGGCTCTTGCACGCCACGCCTCTCCATGCGACCTACCACTCTCCTTGCCTTTACTCACCTCTTTCTTTCACATGGCTGCATGGTTGCATGGAATCACATGGCTGCATGGCATGGCATGGGCGCATGGCACATGGGTGCATGGCATCACATGGGTGCATGGCATCACATGGGTGCATGGCGTGGGTGCATGGCATCAGGTGCATCTGTGGCAGCACCACGAGTCTCTCTCCTCGCGCCATCTCTCCTCCTCCCTCGCCTCCCTGCACCGTTACTTCGACTACAGGTGAACAGTCATGGCCAGGCGGAGAGGGGGGGGTCATACAGGTGCCACGGATGGGTTGCTGGAGTAGAGAGGCCCATGAGAGGGCATTCGCAGGCACGTGCGAGTGTGGGGGGCAGTGGGAAGGGCCTGCTGCATGACAGGGCAAGGAAGTGTGGGGGAGAGTGTGGCGTTCGCACGTTGATACGTGTGATCGTGTGAGTGTGCTGCGCACGCGTGGCCCTCATGGTGAGGCGGCCACGAGGAGTGCAGCCACCACGAGGAGTGCAGCCGCCACGAGGAGTGCAGCCTCCATTCTGTTCTTCCGTGTCTTGTGCGCTCTTCCCCGACTCTTGCGCACACCGTCACTCCACCCTCCCGCTTCCGCCCCCTGCCACCCCCTCCTCTCTCCAAGCAGTGCGGGCGTGACAGCAGTGGGTAGTCGCCCGGCGTCGGAGTGGTGGGCGGGGCGATTCCAGGTGGGGCTGCTGGTGGAGGGCGCCATGCACGCACGATACGGGCACACACAGCACGCCATGGGGGTATGAAGGCATTTGTTACTTGACGTATCAATCAAACTAATGATTCGCATGTGTCCTCACGATGCTTGTCTTTATCGCAGCTAGCTATGTAACTCTGTCCAACATCGAGATAATTCCCCATGTAAGTCCAATTGTAAGTCTCGCTGGTCATTTGATCGTCGGACTAATTTCACAACAATGTCTCGTATGACGTGCAGAAATTTGTAGCCTACCACGAGCTATTTCCTCCGGTAAGCTGGCTTTTGTAATTGCTGTCGTATGGAATATAACTAATTTGATTACAATGTTTGAACCTAATGTGCAGGACTCAATATCCAGCGTCGCGCTACTTCGTTGTTGTGAGCATTGTCCTTATTGTTGGTGATTTCGACCTTGGATTAATTTCGAGATAACAAGTTCTGAACGTAACGTTTCAAGAATTGCTGCTCCTGGTGTGCCGCCGCTCAGTTTCTCTTTGTGTTAGTGCGGGACCCACATAGGGGTGCTGGTAGGCAAGGGCGGTTGGGCCATAGTGGTTGTGTACTGTGGTGTAGATGTTTTTTTAATATATCAAATAATTTGCTTGTTGCATTATAAGTAAATCCAAACGAGGCATGCCCTAATTGTACTGAACCATGCCCAAAAGGGTACTGCAGCCTGCAAAAACGGATCCATGAAAAACACCGCCAAACGTTTGCAACAAATCATGCTGAATACTAAAAATGGTGAGCATAAACTTCTCTATGCATTTACATGTTTACTGCCAGAAGTTGTAGAAAGAACACCGCCATGCATTTGTAAACGAACCACGGAGATTACCGAAAAGACACCTCTAAGCATTCGCTGTCGTGAACCAAAAAGTGTTTCGGGAAATGTTGTCAAAGCATTCGCCAAGTGTTCTAATCTAAGTCCGCCATGAATTTTCACCCACATGTTCGCAAAACGTTTGCAAAGCATTTGCGCGAATGCTACGCAATCGTTTTGCGAGCATACATTTTTTGCGATGAACCCCCCCCGCTGCAAAATCTGGCCGGCTTTCCCAACTCTTACTGTCTTTCCCAATTCTGGCTGGCTTTCCCAATTCTGGCCGGCTTTCCCAATTCTGGCCGGCTTTCCCAATTCTGGCTGGCTTTCCCAATTCTGGCTGGCTTTCCCAATTCTGGCCGGCTTTCCCAATTCTGGCTGGCTTTCCCAGTTCTGACCGTCTTTCCCATGTCGTGCTCACTTCCACCATCCCATCTTGCCCAGGAGAGACACCTGATGAGCGCGCCAAGTACGTCTCCCTGCACATGGCTGACGAGCACTGGCAGTGCTGGAGGCCTTGGAAGAGTTCCTCGCGCCGTTCTGCTCCATCACAGTGGCGGCTAAGGCTCTACCTACCCCACCTCGTCTGCAGTTGTTCCACAGCTCAACGAGCTGATGGACACGCTGCAGGCCACGCCCTCACCGAGCCTTGTGGCGTGGCAGCTGGTGGGAACCGAACCGCATTCCCAGTCCTAGCCATGGAAATGTGCACGATGGGAGGTGCGCTCATGGCCTCATGTGAGCTCATGGTCAGCCTCATGGGTTATGCTGTCTGTCAGGAGTCAAGCCGCCGAAATAATAGTTTCTAGTGCTCAAGGCTCGAGCTGTCACAAACCATCAAGTGATAACCACCGCCATATGCATTGTTTGCTGCCACGGTGCGACTCGCAGATACAGCAGGCAGCAGCCATTGAAGCAAAGCAGGGTTGACGCAGGTATGGCGTCCATCGCATTCAAGATAGAAAGGAAAAGACTTACATCTTGCGAATCATGCCCGAATCGTCACAGGCGAGACCCACAGCTTCGCTGCAGTTGCCTCCCAGCGTCCACCCCTCGAACGTCACCCCCCATGCCGCCTGGCAGTCGTTGAGAAACCCCACTGACAGCCGGGGGATAGGAGAGCCAGCAAAACGGACGAACTGTGGGTACTGGGTGGGTACACGCCTACTCTTAACCTTGGGGTGTATCAATACCGGCACCTACTATGGATAACCAAGGCACGTTAATGATGATGAGTCCGGAGTGACAACATGCACAACACGCACGCGTTACAACACTCATCACGGTATCAAGCACACTAGTACCACGCAGCACTACTAGGAGGCACAACTTTTGGTTTGCTTCTGCGACTGAAATCGATCATGAGTGTAACGTCTGCGGACGGATTTACCCTAGAATGTAATACGCAATTCCGTTGCGCCTCTGGATAGCCCTCGTTTTACCCAGTAGGTAGCGAGGCGTTATAATGAGCGTTGCGCAAGTTACACGCATACGCTGAGGGAGAAAGATTTGCCCCTACTACAATCCGTAGTATCGCTAGCATCGTCCAGTGCGTCTTGTGAACTGCGATACGAGCCGTGTGGAGGGAG